AGTGGCCAGATAACGCCAAATGACAGAAGCTTAACAGACAAGTATGCCTATGGATAATTTCACCGCACCAAAACTGAATATTTGACCATGAATATTTCCCTTGTATTACAGTTTTGTTGCTGTTCAAGGATTAAAACATTCCTTAATCTGTTGTGTAATGGTTTTTTCAGGAAGGAGAAAAGTGTTTAACAAATTAGAATATTTCAGACATTATTTGACTTGAGACACCAAAGCATTAGCTTGTTTCATTACATCTCTCCCCCCCCCACATAAACACACTTTTATTGTAAATCACCTGTGATGTTTCACAGTGCTAATAATTGTTCATTTTCAGTTTTGTTTTTCAGCATTTGGATTGGATTTTGTTTTAATTTGCATAATTTTAATGATTTTCTGTAAATATGTGTATTTTTACTTTAATTAAAGTTGCTAATATATCAGTCTGCACAATTTCACTTGGTGTGGAGATGTAAACCTAACACTCACCACAGACCCCATACTGTTCATAAGACAAATGCTTCAGTTACACAGAATTATTAAATTTACCATTCTAAGTGTTTAATTTGTGCATACCATATCCATGAAAATGAGCATCAAACATGAGCTGTGTTTTGGAGGTGCTGGGAGAAAACAGCTCAAAACTAGATAAGTGGTTTTGGCCAAATTTAAGAGTGCACACAAATTTGATTAGTTTTGAAGGGTTTGCTGAAAGAACTATGAAAAATATTTTATAGTCTGTCCTCTAGAGGTCAGTAATGAGGTTGTCATGTTCCGTGATGTGAAAATAGGGAAACATACAAAGGAAAACATGCTAATTCTGATAGGCATCATGCAAGTGTTTGTATATTTAATTTGACCAAATTCATGCATCTATTAATTCTGCTGTATTGTCATGTTGTATGAACTGATTTTGATGCAGTAACTGGTCAGAAGTGATTTTGTGTCTGTATGTTAAGAGCAACATTATACTGATGTTCTCATTCAGTTAAGTGAAAATAATACCAGTAAACACGTTTGTCAGAAAGTAATTGTTAACTAATTACCATTTAATTAACATAGCAAACTCATTTACAGCTGGCTGATAAGTGGTGTTCTAAATTAAAATACAAACTTCAAAAAAGAGGTCTATCCAATGTGCCATTCAGTGCTAAAATACCTGAATGATTTTTCTTCATACACACCAACAATGAACAGCAGACTGCTGTGATGAGTGTGATTTATTTCCAAAATGTAGGTACAAGTCATGATGATTAGGTATGTTTAATGTCCCAAAGTCAACCATTGGCTCCTGTACTTTTTCCTCAGGTAGCACACAACAGTATTCACCACATGTAGTATAGGGAACAGTGAATGAGTGAGTCATTTAGGACACAACTGATGATGTCACACTGTTCTTTCAGGTTAAGCCTCCATGTGTGCACTGATACAGTAATGCACTGTAAAAATCACAGTAGTCTTTCTGATGAATCCCCCATGTATTCATCAGCAGAGCTGCACACTGACATCATAGTGCTCAAGGTAAACCTCTACTCAGTCCTGTAGTTAATAGTGCACTCAGGTTGATCTTCCATTTATTTACAGCAATACTTGAATAATTGGATACCAGTGATCTCTCAGATCAATTCTCCTTGTACTCACAGTAATAATTAAAGTTTATGATATCACAGTGCTCCTTGATTAATTATATTATTCTATATTTACTTTTGGCACTGAGTTTGATGCTATGACATCACAGTGCTCTCAGGTAATCCTCCCTTGTACTCACGACCAAAGATAGATACTATAAACAGAATGAGCTCCCTGATGAATCTTCATTGTACTCATTACCACAGTTGTATACTTTGGCATCACAGTGCACTCTCAGAAGTTAGACAAAATCAAAATTCAGGGCTCTCTCAAAGTTCACCTTCCACGGAGCCAGAGCCATAGTTACACAGTATACCATCTCAGTGGTGTCTCAGATTAACTCTATGCACAGCTGCAGTTACACATCACATTCCAGAGCTCTCTCAACAGTTCACTCTCTTGACTGCCTACACTGATATTTCAGTGCTGTCTCTATGTCTCCATGGTCCCAGTGACATACCTACACATGATTATGACAGTGTGACAGTGTATTATGACAATGCTCTCACAGATTATTCCTTGTCTTACATGTTGTCAAAGTTAAACACTTTGGCTGTGTCTGTTATGCATCAGTGATTGTCTGTGTCACATCACTGTATCTTGAAGAGGTGTACAATTTAATACTTCCTGACGATGCTCTCTCAGGGAAGTAGCTACTCTCTCTGCAGTATTATATTTGTTGATATTGTTGATTATTATGTGGGGCCGTATCCTGTGTGTATGTGTGTGTGTTTAGGCACATGCGTGTTTGTGTGTGTGTGTGTGTCAAATTGATGGAAGCACTCTGGGGGAGGGCAGTGTATGCGAGTCTCTGGGTGACTGGCCAAACATTTTGAGAACCACTGGTTTAACTGGTTTTCTGCTGGATGCTCACAAACATGCTGTACCATAGTTCTCTAGCACCATGTCTTAATGCTACAGAAAAATGCTTTTCCCATTGTGAGAGATTTTTGTATAGAATGACAGCATAGAAGGATAATTTTGTGTTTGCATTCTAATTAATTGCAAATGTACCATATATTATCACCTATTATTATTATCTATAAAATGTCATAAGGTGCCCTTTTACCTACCTATTTGTAGGTTTATCTTGTAAGGGTTGCTGTAACAATCATACAGAATGAAAACACAACAGCAGCCAGCAGGTTCCTCTCTCTTATTTGTGTCTGCATCTGTTTGGATAAGCCATACAAAAACAGGAAAGTATACAGAGACCCCCTTTCTCCCATTTAGAAATGCCCAGTTGTATTCACAAGTCAAGGTCAAACCCAGGCTGTGGAGCTCAGCTTACATTCAAAGCAAATGCCCTAACCACTGAGCCACTAGGACGATCCAAATATACATATTTCATAAACTATTATTAAGTTACGAACATATGAATCCCATGTGCACCTTGCTTCTTTGTCTCAGGAAAGACAACCTTTATAATACTGTGTCTATGGGAAAATAAGATTCACGACAATTATTTTGGTTTATGACAGAGTTTATAAGAATGCAGTGTGTTGTAAAAGGGGAACCTGTCTGCATAGATGTGTAAGTCCATAAGCAATTCAAACTGTAAAGCCAGGTGCACACTGCAGTAGAGAGGAGACAGGTGTGCTGCACTGATGCTCAAAGCCACACCCTGATATGAGTCTCTTCTTTCAGTGTATGCATCATGCTAGGATCTGAAGAGAGAGGGAGAAAGGGAGACAGAGTGAGAAGGGTTGTTGGACTATTATTATTCATGTGTTATTAGGGAAAATTGTTTTGGCAACACATTTAATTGTCATGCCAGTTCGGATTTTTGAGCTAAATGAAATTGAATTGATGTAAGGATACATTTTCCAGTCTGCTTTGTTTATGTTTAGTTATATTGATTACAGTAACTCTTTCGTATGTCCATGGATTTTACAACTCAAGATAACTTGTCATGCACTTACATTACTTTTTAAACTTGAGATGGATTGATTGATTTAGGATTTAGATCCCCCTCTGTCACAGTTAATGACCTCCAGGTGGATCTGGCTGGTACCAGGGCTTAGGTCTTCATTGTATTTCTATTATTTGTAAAGCCTCAAGTTTGAACCAGGCACTTACTCTTCCTCTCTCTATGCTGCCCTGATTGTGGAATACATCTCATGTGGAAAAAAATGCCTGCAGGGGGAGACAGACAGCAAAGATGATATATGGCACTGACATTCTCTCTCACACACACACACACACACACACACACACACACACACACACACACACACACACACAAACACATTCACACACACTTGCAGCTCATTACATGTTTGTGTGCACTGTTAAAGTCTTTTCTGGACATGAATACAAGTGTGATTATTGTAATGAGTTACTAAGCATACATTTTGGAAAATTATGAAGTCGTAATGCTGTTAAAAATTTCTGACAGATCAAATTTGGATGAACAATAAGGCTGAGAGCAAGACTTTGAGCAATGGTCAGTCCTCACCCTGTCCTTGGCAGCTAGGATCAACTCAGTCAAAATGAACACCCTTCCCAAATTCTCCTATTTATTCCAGTCTATTCCACTCCATATTCTGAAGTCCTTTTTCTGCAGACTAGAGACTCTAATCATAAAACAATTTGGAATAAGGATTCTAAGAAACCACCCCAGCTCAATAAATTTTGGAGGCATGGCCCTTTCAATTTTTCAGTTCTGTTACCGGGCATCCAACCTTCTTTCCTTTGTGCAACTCACAGGACAAGTCTTCTTTCAGTTTAATGTGTCTCTCTCCATGTGAACCACCCTCTACTCCTTGTTTCCCTTTGCCGAAATCTCTGTTCTCTCTCATCCGCTCATTTTTCATCCCTGATGTCTGCATCCCCTCTCCCAACCACTTTGCATCACTTAATGTTGAGGATGCCACCGGCACTCTGTGCTCCACCCTAGCGTCCTGCTTCAACAGCATCTGCCCTCTCTCCTCCAGGTCAGCACGTGCATCACCCTCCAGCCCCTGGCTTACCGAGGTTCTCCGTGACTATTGGACCAGGCTCACGGCAGCTGAGTGCAAATCGCGAGATCCTGCTGATCTAAGTGAGTATCAATCTTTCCTCTCCTCTTTCTCCTCCAACACCTCCACTGCCAAGGCCACTTACTACCAGGACAAGATCAACAGCACTTCAGACAGCCGCGAACTGTTCAGGACATTCACCTGTCTCCTCTGCCCTCCACCACCTCCACCCACCACCTCTCTGACTGCTGATGATTCTCCAGTTTTTTATTAAAATTTAATTTAAAAGACACTAGCCACCCCTCTCAGTCAGCTGGCCCCCTGCAGCCTTCAACATTAGTATGTGAAAGCTGTCCCTAACCAGCTCCCTAACAATGCACTATTAAGCCTTTGCAGTTGATACAAAATGCAACTGCAGCAGTGTAGCATAGTGGTTAAGGAGAAGGACTTGTAACCAAAAGGTTGTTGGTTCGATTCCCCTCTGGTGCACTGTTGCTGTACCCTTGGGTAAGGTACTTAACCCACAATTGCCTCAGTAAACTATCCAGCTGTATAAATAGATAACATTGTTTAAAAAAAAAAAAAAAAAAACTAATCAATGTAAGTCGCTCTGGATAAGAGCGTCTGCTAAATGGCAGTACTGTTAATGGCTTAATGCACTTGTGTTTCTACCAACTAGCCTGTACCTTGTCTGGCCAACTATTGAAACTTTGGATAAAAGCCTCTGTCAAATTAATAAATGTAAATGAGACAAGCTCAGACTGTTTATGACTGGCCTACTACAGCACGCAGCAACTGCACTTAGAAGCATATTTACTATTTAGTCCCGTGGTAATTGTTCTGCTGATGAAAGCATAGTAACACATATTTCTACACAAGCACTGTCTGCTTTTCTGCCATTTTACAGCAATAACCAACATGCCTTTTCATGTGAAACATAATATAGTGACATGGATTATGCAGAGGTACACTTACCATTGCACATATACTATATGAAGCTTCTTTCTTGCATACGTTTGGGGTGGCAGTGTGGTTATAGACCTTAAATGGTTAACAGGTTATTAGCTTGATTTTCAGGCGGGACCCTGCAGTTCCACCCTGGGGCATGTTATTTACCCTAATCTGATAATGAAGATATTACATTAAATATAACACATAATCTTGCAATGCAAGCATACATCTAAATGTACAAGCCGTCCCTACTGTATGGTGAGATGTAAGCTAGGTGACAATTTAAAAGGGTTTAGTTTTCATTTAGGGGAGTCATGAGCTGGATCTGAAAAGGTTTATTGATTATATCCATATGTGCTTCCTGTTTCCCCTGTTCCTGTTAAATGTTTCAATCACCCTATCAAGCACTGGTCTGAAGACCATGATTTGCGTCCTGCTTATCTCTCAGTGCCACCATTCCCAAACTGTTACACAGAGCAGTGTCACAATACTGAATATTTAAGCTGTGGTCCAGCTACCTATAGCCTATATGAATATACACATTTTATACATTTTTATATGAATATCTTATTTGTTTAACATCATATTTACCCAGCTATTTTTGTGGAAATATCTGATGTCAAATACATTGTCATGAACATAACCCTTTTGTGACGGAGTGCCGTCACTATGGTTGAGTATGTGCTTTGACTGTCATACCAACGAGCCTGGCTCTTTGGCGTCGCGGTCAAAGTCGCATGTTTGGTACCCCGTAGACCCGGGTTCAAGGCCGGGTGGGGTGACTGCTCTCGCCTTTCGCTACAAATGGTGTCAGAGTGGGATGGCTGGCTGCGAGGCCATCGGAGGCCTGCCCGGTGTATGAGCCGTATGAGGGACCCCCAGGTTAGGTTGACCCCAGTATGAGGGACCCCAGAGATGGGTGAAGCACGGTGTGAGGGACCCCAGGAATGGGTGAAGCACGAGTGAGTGGGGCACCCTGGGATGGGAGAAGTACGGTGGGGAATGCATGAGGGATGCCATTGTGCGTGAAGCGCATGGGCGCGCTTCCCGAAGGGGAGGGCAGTGTGACGGAGTGCCGTCACTACGGTTGAGTATGCGCTCTGACTGCCATACCAACGAGCCTGGCTCTTTGGCGTCGCGGTCAAAGTCGCATGTTTGGTACCCCGTAGACCCGGGTTCAAGGCCGGGTGGGGTGACTGCTCTCGCCCTTCGCTACACCTTTATAACACTGCATCTTGGGGAAAATAAGACTCACAACAGTCTGGTGTACAACAGGGTTTCCAATATAATATTGTGCTGTAAAACGCGAAACTGCCTGTATAGATTTGTATAAACCCATAAGCAAAGCAAACATAGTAAAGCCAGGTACACACCACAGTAAAGAGGAGACAGGTGTGCTGTATCAATCCTCAAGATCACACCCTGATAGGAGCTGTCTGTTCCAGTGTAGGTGTGATGCTGGGATCCAGAGAGGGAGAAATAGAGATTAATGGATTGAAGGATTGATTGATTAATTTTGAATTAATATTCCCTTCCTACCAGTGATTAAGCACTAAGAGAATCCGACTGCTATCAGGGCTAAAAAAATGACCATATTACTATTTTGGTCTGAAGATTAATCTAAAATTGCATAAACTTCTTAAAGGAAGCATATTTTACATGTAACAGTGACTTACTCTGAGTGTAAACAGAGTAAATACAGCAGAAATACTGAAGCTACTGAATACATTATAATCTTAGCTACTGGCTACAGATATTGCTTGATGTAGCAGCTCACACTGGGTAGCACTACATTAGCCAACTAACATTACATTTATATTTACATTTATTAATTTGGAAAATGCTTTTATCCAAAACAACTTACAGGTGAGGCAGAGTACATCACAAGCAAACAGCCATATTGCAGGGCAATTTACAGGACCACATCTCCTGCAAAACCAACCAAAGGAATGCAAGTGTTTTCCTCTGGGCTTGCAGGAGGTCAGCAGGGTGCAATAGTTATCTGGACACCTCAGGTACCATGCAACACCCACCAAACGTGACTATTAAGCAACTCAACTGGGGGGTAGCGGCAGTCCAACCCTTGCCGCTAATCTCTGGCCAGCAGGTCACGCTAAGGGCAGCTGCATCCTGGTCTCTGGACTCTGTCTGCTGCCAGGCATCCTACAGCACAGCCACACTCAGGACTCTGTTCATCTCTTGTCAAAAGTATTGAATATGGTCATTCTCATGTGCAACATAATCACATTTGGTGTCATTTCAAAGCTAATTTCACATGCATGTCAATAATGTATGTAACAGGGAGGTACGATGGGTTCATAATAAAGATTGTAACGTGGCACAAAAGTGAACAGTGAGGAATGCACTTATCTTTGCTTTCCTCACTCGCTAGCACCCCTTCATACCCCCCTGGTTACCACAAGATTTGCATTATTTATAATTGCTGAATCATGACTATACTGTTGTTTCAGAGCTTATCATGTTTGGTCATGGCACCAAAGTCCAGTTACCACATTTGATGTTCAGGTATATAGGGGGGAAACTGGTATAATTCTGGGAGACTCATTAACATGACCTCCTGCGCACTTTTGCGTATAGCCTATTCATTATTCTTTGCTTCTCTGTTGTACTCTGTTTTTTCCATCACACTGCCTAATGTTCATTATTTTGGATGATCATACATTGTAACAAATAAATTCATTTATTGTAATTCAATGCTCATTGTCCGTCTTACTCGCTGCAGCTGATCACTGTACGGTAAGATAACTATGCGCTTATAGAATCATTATGCTATTAGTATACTCCGTAGTCCCTCGCCTATACAACTAGTGGCATTTTAGGCCGAGCTCAGGCCACAGGCATGTATGCATTTCTGCGAGAGACTGCAACCCGTATAGAGCAACACTATGCGAGACCAGAGGCTACAGTCCCTCGGTTGCATATATAAGCATTCTGTCTTAGCAATTAGCAGAGAGGCATTTGAGTGGTTACTAAATTAAAATGCGTTAACAATTACAAAACTTGGAGTCAGATGTATTAAAAGCAGTTATATTTGACAAATTTTGTTCCCGAACTGCCAAAAGTAAGACAGCACGCCATCCTTTGCCACTCGGGCATCTCCGTCGTTGGTGTGTTCGAGTGAGAGTTCTACAGGCAACTCTACAATATGAGTGAACAATATTAGAGGCGCTGCATGACCAAGTTTCAGTAGTTGGCCAGAAATGGTACATTCTAGCTAGCAGAGATACAAGTGCATGGAACCAGATTTGAATTTTTTTAATGAAAACAAAGTTTAAGAATTTGCCTTAGGTGGTAGTGTTTCAGGTGTTCAGGTAAGTGGGGAAGAACTGTGTCATCAGATGTTTCTTGAAGATAGAGAGGGACTCAGCAGATCGGATGTGGTGTGGAAGTTCATTCCACCATTGAGGACATAGGAGAAATTTCTGGATAGCGATTTAGTGCCACGATGTGATGGGACCACCAGAGGCCGTTTGGTAGTAGAGTATAGTGGTAGCATGCAGGTAGGCCAGCCAAGAGAGCATTGCAGTCATCCATTCTTGAGATGACAAGAGCCTGGACAAGAAGCTGTGCAGCATACTCAGATAGGTGGGGCCTGATTTTCCTAATGTTGTACAGTACAAATCTGCATGATCAGGCAGTCATTGCAATGTTACTGCAGACCTGTTCCTTGCAGACCTGGATGGAGTTAGTGTCGTTGAGCCAAGCTGAGCGGTGATGTCATGCTGAATGGACGGGCTAGCTGGGATGATGAGAATCATGTTACTTACTGTTGCATTTTTATTGACTATTGTCATTTTCTTAGAGTGTTTTGGTTATTACTACCTAGCCTGTATATTCAAGCAGGCTTCATCTTTATATTACCTTCCTATGAGAAGGGCTTGTAACCAAAAGATGGCTGGTTCAATTCACCGCTGAGGCACTGCTACTGTACACTAGCGCAAGGTACTCAACCTACAATTGCCTCAGTAAATATCCCTGTGTATAAATGGATAACATTGTAACCTATGTAAATTGCTCTGGGTAAGAACGTCTGCTAAATGACAATAATGTGATGTATTCCTGTGTGGCTTGTGAAATCATACTGCTGTCAAATGAACAGCCTACTGTAGGGAGTGAAGGTAAAGAGCAAGTGAATGCTATAATTAAATCTGAATTTACAGGTAATTGCATTTCCAAGTAAGGGGACAAATGCTGCAACTGTAGAGGGTGAATACCAAATATATAGGCACACTTTGACAGCATGTTAGTGAAGTTAACTGAAGTCATTCAGTTGACTTACTACTATGTCCTGCTGACACTTTGTACCTCTGTTAAATATTCCCAAGTCATGCACTTTTCTGCCTACTTTTTTCCACTACAAGCATAAACATAAGAAATGGGTTCATGATGTACAGTGGATGTAAAAAGTCTACACACCCTTATGAAATTGCAGATTGCAGAGAAAGAAAGAAGAGTTCATTATTAGGAAAAATAAATTACAAAAAAAAACAAAAAAACACCCTGATTGCATAAGTCTG